TTTTTTTAGGGAGGAGGAAAGCCCCGTTTTGGGGGGATGCAAGGCAATAATGTTGAGTTTTTTTTTAGGGGAGACAAAGTTGTTGAGCTTCTTTGGGTGGAGCCAGTGATCTACCAGTGATCTACCACAGACGTCCAGTGATCTACCAGTAGATCACGATCTACCTGTTGGACATGCCTGTTGTACACCATCAAGGACGATTTAGAGAAAGAGAACTTAATTGAAGGGTGGCCCCAGGATGACGAAGGTGGAGGTGGGGAGCTCTGGATTTTAATGCAGCCTTCCAGGACTCTATTTGCAGACCCAACAAGGCTCCCTATTTTCCAGGGACAGTTCCAGATTTATAGAAGCCACCCCAGTTTCTGATTTGATCCTCGAAAGTCCTGCTTTTCCTTAGGACATCCCTGTTTTTGTTGGAGAAATGTTGGAGTGTATGGAGTTATCCAACCCACCCTCCCTGAGCCAAGGAGAGAAGTAACTATACAACATTTTTGTTTATACAACCTTTAGAAGACTTCTGGAAGCAGCCTCGTAAGGGGATTTAAAAAAAAAAATTAATGTTTCATTATGTTTTTATATACGTTGGAAGCTGCCCAGAGTGGCTCGGGCAACCCAGCCAGATGGGCAGGGTACAAACAATGCTCTTTTTCTAGAAAAGAGGTGCCAGAACTCACCACGAACACCTCACTTGTTCTCCTCGGTGGTACCTCTGGAAGCTCGAACGGACATCCTATTATGGAAGTCCATTTGACTTCCAAAACATTTGGAAACCAAGTTGCGGCTTGCTGATTGGCTGTAGAAGATTCCTTAGCAGTTGGAAGCGCGGAAGTCCTGTCGGATGTTCAGCTTCCACAAGAACGTTGAAACGTAACATCACTTTCTAGGTTCGGACTGTTCAGGAGACCGATTGTTGGGAGCCAGGCAGTTCGAGATCCAAGGTACGGCTGTAATGGCCAATGGGGCACTGATGGGCTGGCATAGTCCACTCCATACCCTACAACATCTCCCCAATGAAAATAGGGACATCCTAAGGAAAGTGGGCATTCTGGGATCAAATCTGAAACTGGGATGGCTTCTGTAAATCCAGGTCTGTCCCTGGAAAATAGGACGCTTAGAGGGTATGATTCCTGAGAAGATCCCATATATGGAGGCTGCTGCCAAGAGGGCCAGGTCACACCGCCACCTCGAAGGGACCACAGAGGTTGGCACTGCCAACAGTGCCTCCCATCTGATTTTAGAAGCGTTTTGTTAGGGATTGTAGGACAAGACCTGCCAAGGGAAATGAATAATTTATTTATGTATGCAACAACAGCGGCAAGAGTCTTGATAGCACAAGGATGGAAGAATGAGGAAATCCCGACAAAAGAACAATGGCAAGAGAAATTGATGAACTATGCAGAAATGGCTAAATTGACAAACAGACTTTAAAGAAGAATGAAAACATTTTACGTGCAGTGGTACCTCTGGATGAGAACAGGATCCGTTCGGGAGTCCTGTTTGCATCCTGAGCAGAACGCAACCTGCGTCTGCGGTGCACATGCCGCGATTTGCTGCTTCTGCGCATGCGCGTGACGTCATTTTGCGCGTCTGCGCATGTGCGAGCTGCGAAACCTGGAAGTAACCAATTCCGTTACTTCCGGGTCGCTGTGGGACACAACCTGAAAATGCTCAACCTGAAGTGAATTTAACCCGAGGTATGACTGTATTACTTAAAAAGACAACAAAATGAATCGGACTCCTTGGCAGGTTTTGAATAAACATCCACAAATCTATTGATTGTTAATGTAGTAGATAGGTAATATAAGGATTTATACAATTTTACAGTATGCAGAGAACAATATTTAGTTGAGAGATCAGAGAGAGGAGCTGAGGGAAGTCTTGTGGGGGGAGGGAGGGTTTGATGGGGGAAATAGGGAGGGAAATGATGAATATGAGATGTTTTTGTTATGTACTGAAGTTCTCACCCTGGGCCAGCAGGGAGATACTGTAGATAGTTTTCACTCAGGTCCACATATGCAAATAAGGGATTGAAAGTGACATTCAGTGATTGGATAGTTACAGAAATTGGTTACAGTTGCATTGTACTGGAGCTCTATATAAGCAGGCTGACTGAACCCTTCAGTTCAGTTCTGTTCTGTGTCTGTGAATAAACAAGAGCTGTTGGAAGAATCGCTGTGCCGTCTGATATGTTCACCCACAACTTAACAGTTTTGATACGTTGTTATGTTGAAATTGTTAATTAAAAAAACACACCAGTGCCTCCTCAGCTGATTTCAACAGGCAGGGAGATCTGCCCAGGAGGATGTGGTCTTCTAAGTAACTGGTGGCCAAATTTATCAAGACTTCTTTATCTAGACATCTTGAATTGGGCTCAGAGGTTGATTGGCAACCAGTAAATGTCATCACAAGTGGAGTAATATGTGATATGAAGCGCACCGGGTGCAATTTATGCGCCGTCGTCAGGAGCAACGGCATATACGATGTATGGCAACAACAACTGATTCTAGAGGTTATAATGGCAAGCAGGTATGTTTTTGCTTTTGGACAGAAGAAGAAAAAGCAAAGAGAGCAAAGTTTACGGTGCAATATAAATACTTTAATTGCTTACAGAATCTGAAAACAAAACACCTTGAGAAACATAATCTCTATTCAGAACTTAAAACACACACGCGCACATACAAAAACCACCAGCAGCAATTAAATCATTTTCTGCCATGTCTGGAAAATCCCCTGAAATTTGATGTGCATGGGAAAGGAATGCCCGTTTTAGGGGCCGCAGCTTGGAGGCAGAAAGGAGGAAAAGTCCGTCCCCCCAAAGTATCCTATTAGCCCTATTGCACGCTTCTCGTCCAAGAAACTACACTTTATCATAAATACAAGCATTTCTAAGGCATTCATCCGTACAACCACCATGTGTAGCATTCTTTTTTAAAAACATTTATAAGAAAATAATAGTGAGGTAAAAGCTGTGGCGGTGTGGACGCGGGTGGCGCTGTGGATTAAACCACAGAGCCTAGGGCTTGTCGATCAGAAGGTCGGCGGTTCGAATCCCCGCGACGGGGTGAGCTCCCGTTGCTCGGTCCCTGCTCCTGCCAACCTAGCAGTTCGAAAGCATGTCAAAGTGCAAGTAGATAAATAGGTACCGCTCTGGCAGGAAGGTAAACGGCATTTCTGTGCACTGCTCTGGTTCACCAGAAGCGGCTTAGTCATGCTGGCCACATGACCCGGAAGCTGTATGCCGGCTCCCTTGGCCAATAAAGCAAGATGAGCACTGCAACCCCGAAGTCGACCACGACTGGATCTAATGGTCAGGGGTCCCTTTACCTTTACCTAAAAGCTGTTACTTGGCAGACCAAAACTATGGCTAAAGTGCTATAATGCTTGGCACACACAAGGATAGAACACCCTCAATCTGTCACATTCCTTGTCTTTTTTCCTCTCCTTTTATTTGCCAAAGAAAAATCTGATTTTGGTGGCGGCTATTTAATCTTTCCAAAATGCCCCACATGGTGTATTGATCCATGTGGCTTTCTGAAAAACTGCCTTTTCACCCCCACACGCCTGGTACACAGTTAACTCCCCAACAAAAGGAATTTGCCATGCTTTTAAATTCTTTTCTTTTGTAAAATGCATGTGCTGCTTAATTGCAAATAGAATCTCTCGTTTTTACGAAAACATAGACCAAATATTAAAGGTAACAATAAAAGGCAGAGTTAAAAACAGGAAATCAAAACCCCCCAAAAAAGATTAATATTATAAATTAAAATCAGTTCCAGAGTGAGTTATTGATGGTGACATATTAGATTTGAATCTATGGGTTGTCTGTGCAAACTTAGAAGTCCTGGACAACTGTGTGTATTGGAAGAAGTCACCGATAGTGTTTGCACCGCCATTCAACGAAGCCTGGGAAAATCAACACGTAGGGTGAGTCGCGTTTGGGCAGAAATGGATTACTGGTTCGATGTGTGTCATGTGACAAAGGGTGTACACAAAGAACATCTGTGACTGTTTCTAAAAAAACTTTCAACATTCCCCTACAATTCTGTTACAGGTGACGTAAGATATGTTCTTCTTTTTTTATAGCACGTTGAAACTGTATCATTATGAATCACCCTGTATTTTTTTAAAAATGGCAAATCAGGAGGGGTGTATTGGGGGCACACACAAAAATGGGTTGACCACACCTGGATGTAATTTAAAGATGAGGACTCCAACATATATTGCTTAGGGATATCGAATGAACCACTCCATGATGTTTCCTTCCCTCCATGGATTGTAGCACAGTTTATGGATTCTTTTTTGTGCAAACAGTCATGTGTACTCTTTGTTGGTTCCTCTACGGATCTGTTTCAACAGAGTGGTCTTCTTCATAATAGGCTGAGAGTCTCATCCAGGAAACAGTTTCAGAAGAATTTTTTAAAGCTGGCATGCTGAACTCCACTGTCACCCATCAGACCCGCCTTTCTGTTAGTGGGCTTCCAGTTGCGATCCGTTGGGTGTTAGGTTTCTTCATTCACCTCAGCTCCTGAAGGGAACTATCAGAAACGAGTCCCAGGGTGGGAATCAACACTGGGTTGTTACCTCTGGCTTCTGGAACTGCAGCTGCAAAGAGAAGTATAAAGTGTTATGTACTGAAGTTCTCACCCTGGGCCAGCAGGGGGATACTGTAGATAGTTATGCAAATAAGGGATCGAAAGTGACGTTCAATGATTGGATAGTTTTAGAAAGTTCTTACAGTAACGTTGTACTGGAGCTCTATATAAGCAGGCTGACTGAACCCTTCAGTTCAGTTCTGTCCCGGCCTGTGAATAAACAAGAGCTGTTTGAAGAATCGCTGTGTCGTCTGATATGTTCACCCACAACTTAACATAAAGTGTGTTGTGAGGTCCATGAAAAAGCAGGGCTCATTTGAAACCAGAAGAAACGCGAAACTCTGCTTCTTCCTGACTTTGAAAGTAGCTGCATATTTAACAGAGTGAATATTGCCTGTGATCGTTGCAAAATATCAGAGCCAGAATAAAATTGCCACAACTGCTGAATGAGAATCAAAGTTGTATGAGTTTGCCATGACGGCAAGCTTATTGCTAATGTAAGGTGTACAGGATATGCATGACAAAGCTATACACATTTAGGATACTTTTATCAATTTTTGGCATGCATACAGTTTATGAAATTTTATAAATTATGATTTTGGATCTGTGGAATCAACAGAGCTTGTTAACAAAGGAGATGTGAAAAAAAACAAATTGGTGTTTGGAATTGTCGTTTTAAATTTATTTATTTTTATAGAAAAAACGAAACCTAAGCACTTGCGTATTTGCATCACACAGCTAAGTCTGAACTGAAGCGGAGCCGTCTTTCCCATTGGGTTTACTGGTGCGTTGCGCCAGGGCGCCGGCCTCTCAGGCGCCCCAGCGAGTGGGGGAGCTGTGTGGCTTTGGCGGCGGCCTCCCCTTTCCCTCCTGCATGCCTGCTAGCTGTGCCCCATCAACCATATGGCTGGCGAGCGTGCACCTTGCCTCACAAGCCTCCGTGGGAGGAGAGCTATCCCCACAAAGGCTTAGGATGGAAGCTGCACAGCGCCAACTCTGTGGCTGGCAGACGTGCAGCTTCCTTCCCAGGCCTCCACAGGAGGAGAGCGATCCCCGCACAGGATTGGGAAAATGTTGACACCTCTGGGAAAGGGGGAGGGGGCGCCAGATATGCTTAAGGCGGCCCTGAAGTGAAATATCCCCCCTTTTTACTGTCACATTTGCTAATTGATATGGAGAAGGGGCTCAGCAATTTTAAGGGAGGGTAATAGAGTGGTACGTCGGGTTACAGACGCTTCAGGTTACAGACTCCGCTAACCCAGAAATAGTACCTCGGATTAAGAACTTTGCTTCAGGATGAGAACAGAAATCGTGCGGCGGCACAGGGAGGCCCCATTAGCTAAAGTGGTACCTCAGCTTAAGAACAGTTTCAGGTTAAGAACAGAGCTCCAGAACGAATTAAGCTCTTAACCTGAGGTACCACTGTATGGGGGTGACCAGACCGTTGTCTTGCTTCAGTAATGGACTGGATGAGAGCCAACAAACTGAAGCTCAAACCAGATAGGACTGAGGCACTGTCAGTGGGCGGTTCCCTTGACCAGATGGATGGGAGGTTGCCTTCTCCCTCTGAAGGAGCAGATAAGATAGCTTGGGTGGTCCTCCTAGATCCTTTGCTGTTGCTTGAGGCTCAGGTGGCCTCAATGGCCTTCCATCAGCTTCAGCTGGTGGTCCAGTTGTGCTCCTATGAGGACCAGGATAGCTTAACTTCAAGGGACACGGGTGGCGCTGTGGGTAAAAGCCTCAGCGCCTTGGGCTTGCCGATCGAAAAGTCGGCGGTTCGAATCCCCGCGGCGGGGTGCGCTCCCGTTGCTCGGTCCCAGCGCCTGCCAACCTAGCAGTTCGAAAGCACCCCCGGGTTCAAGTAGATAAATAGGGACCGCTTACCAGCGGGAAGGTAAACGGCATTTCCGTGTGCGGCTCTGGCTCGCCAGATGCAGCTTGTCACGCTGGCCACGTGACCTGGAAGTGTCTTCGGACAGCGCTGGCCTCTTAAGTGAGATGGGCGCACAACCCTAGAGTCGGACACGACTGGCCCGTACGGGCAGGGGTACCTTTACCTAGCTTAACTTCTGTTGTCTATGCCCTGGTAAGCCTTAGGCTGGATTACTGCAAAGTGTTATATGTGGGGCTGCCTCTGAAGACGGTTCGGAAGCTTCAGTGGCCTTGTTGCTCACCGGGGCAAGATGGTTTGAGCATAGAACCGACTGTCAATCATCTAACCAGCTGCCAATCAGTTTCTCGGCCCAATTCAAAGTGCTGGTTTTGACCTATAAAGACTCAAATGGCTCAGGCCTTTAGAACTGTGTGGTGTGTGTGCTGTTTGTTACTATGTTATGTATTTTTGTGTTTCTACATTTTAAACCACACACCCCACCGGTGATCCTCGGATGAAGGGCAAAATAGAAATTTAATAAATAGTAACTGGTGCTGGCAATGATTCTTATGGTGACCGATGGCTATTACTACATCTCTCATGTTTCATAATGGAGCAGACCTCCATCCCTGCTTTTGCTGTCTACACAATCATCATCTGTCGATTGATCTCAGGAGACGATAACCGAAAGAAATCTGCCCAAGATGAAACTATAGCTGTACATACCTGCATTTCAGTATCTACTGCATCAAGAGTTGGTCTGAACACCTGTTTTCTGCCTTCAAGTCCTAAGAAACAAAGATGATGATGATGATGATGATGATTTGTATACCACTCTTCTTCCAAGGATCACAGGGCAGTGTACAATACAGAAACACACAAATGCATGCCATAGTGACAAACAAAAGCAACAACACTCCTTTCACATAGTATTAGTATTTCTTAATTTAAGAGCAGCTAGAGTGTTGGAATGATTTATTGGCCGTAACCCAGAAAGCCCCTTTCCACCCCTTACACAGCCTTTCCTGGGTGCACACAGTGAGGCTTCTCACTTCTTCCTTGCTAAGGAAATAGTAATAATAATAATAATAATAATAATTTTTTATTTATATCCCGTCCTCCCCAGCCGAAGCCGGGCTCAGGGCGGCTAACAACAATAAAATAATACAACATTCTAAAATCATTTCATTATAAAATTAATTCAAATCAAATTGAAGGCAACCATTGGGCTAGAGTTCTGTGAAGATTGCCAAAGGATGGAGTCAGGCTGTGCCCTGGCCAAAAGCCTGGAGGAACAGCTCTGTCTTGCAGGCCCTGCGGAAAGATGTCAAGTCCCGCAGGGTCCTAGTCTCTTGTGACAGAGTGTTCCACCAGATTGCAGCCACAGCCGAAAAAGCCCTGGATCTGATTGAGGCCAGCCTAACCTCCCTGTGGCCTGGGACCTCCAAGATGTTTTTGTTTGAAGACTGTAAGTTCCTTTGTGGGACATACCAGGAGAGGCGGTCCCATAGGTATGAGGGTCCTAGGCCGTATAGGGCTTTAAAGGTTAAAACCAGCACCTTAAACCTGATCCTGTACTCCACTGGGAGCCAGCGCAGCTGGTATAGCACCGGGTGAATGTGATCCCGCAGCAAGGACCCCGTAAGGAGTCTCGCTGCGGCATTCTGCACCCGCTGGAGTTTCTGGCTCAGTCTCAAGGGCAGCCCCACATACAGCGAGTTACAATTATCCAGTCTGGAGGTGACCGTCACGTGACGGTGAGTGGGGACCCTGTTGCTACAGTTCCTTGAATAAAAATCAGGCTTACTAGCTGCTTTGCTTCTCAATATACCTCTGGTTGCAAACGGGATCCATTCCGGAGGCCCGTTTGCCACCTGAAAAGAACGCAACCTGCGTCTGTGCATGCGTGGGTCACAATTCGCCACGTCTGCACATGCGCGTGATGTCATTTTGCGGGTCTGCGCATGCGCGAGCGGCGAAACCCGGAAGTAACCCTTTCTGGTACTTCTGGGTCGCCGCGGGACGCAACCTGAAAATGCTCAACCTGAAGCAAGCGTAACATGAGGTATGACTGTACTCTGGTTGGCCTCTGTTATTTCTCCTACCAATAAGGAACCCACTTAAGGACTCTGTACAGGCTCTGGAATACCCCATCAGGGAAAAGGAGCAGTTTTTCTTATAGCATAATGAATCCTTACCACCCTCGCAGGCTGCTTTATTCACGATGCTCAGGCCTGAGGAAGGCTTCCACTCTTCCTCTTCATCCTCCACGTACCAGAGCTCCTCTCCGTCAAGGAAGCTGCAAGAACAATATGCACAGGTCACTCCTAGGATGACGCCTCCTGGAAAAGGTTGCACATTCTCTCTCTCCCCCCCTCTCATAGGGGTGCCAGCTCAAGGGCTTCCGCTGCCTGAGGCAGCAGCCTCACTCTACCTAACGGGTGGGCTGTCCTTGTCGCTCTGTCTTCCCCACCACCACACCCTCCATGTTCTGCCTCAGAAGTCCAAATTTTCAATTCTTTCTATCCGCACCCCCATATACACAACCCAGAAATAGAGCCCTGTTAATGTTCCTGCACGTCCCTCTCAGAGATCTGAAGACAACCTGGGCCTTTTCTAACTTAAGAGAAAACTTCGTTCAGTTCACATACAGTGGTATCTCGGTTTTCTAGCGTCTTAGAAGCCGAAAACCTGAAAGTAATTGCTTCCGTTTTCCTCAGAAGTCAAACGGCTTTCCCTGTATAGTTTTTTTTTCAATTTTCTCAATAGAAATTGCAGGTGGCACTTTGCACCTTGGTTTTCAAACGTTTCGAAAGCCGAACGGTCTTCCGGAATGGATTACGTCTGAAAACCAAGGTACCACTGTATTATTGTGAAGTTGCCTAACAATTCACACTTACGCAGGGCGATACGTGAACTAAAACACAGCAGTCCTTCAAAAAAACCCCACTGTTTTCTGAATTTTGCCATGCGGTTCTTGAACCGAAACAGGCACGTAAAAAAGTGTGTTGTGAAAAATTGTGCACGAAAATGCTTATATTCGTGAAAATACTGTAACCCCCCGTGAAAATACTGTATTTTAAAAACCATTATGTATGTGCCAAAAATTGACATGGGGGACATCTATGATAGATATAGATAATCTATCATCTATCTATCTATCTATCTATCTATCTATCTATCTATCTATCTATCATCTATCTATCATCTATCTATCATCTCTATCTATCTATCTATCATCTATCTATCTATCATCTATCTATCATGTATCTATCTATCTATCTATCTATCTATCTATCTATCTATCTATCTATCTATCTATCATCTATCTATCATCTATCTATCTATCTATCATCTATCATCTATCATCTATCTATCTATCTATCTATCTATCTATCTATCTATCTATCTATCTATCATCTATCTATCTATCTATCTATCATCTATCTATCTATCTATCTATCTATCTATCTATCTATCATCTATCTATCTATCTATCTATCTATCTATCTATCTATCTATCTATCATCTATCTATCTATCATCTATCTATCTATCTATCTATCTATCTATCTATCTATCTATCTATCATCTATCTATCATCTATCTACAGTGGTACCTCGGGTTAAGTACTTAATTCGTTCCGGAGGTCCGTACTTAACCTGAAACTGTTCTTAACCTGAAGCACCACTTTAGCTAATGGGGCCTCCTGCTGCTGCCGCGCCACGGGAGCACGATTTCTCTTCTCATCCTGAAGCAAAGTTCTTAACCCGAGGTACTATTTCTGGGTTAGCGGAGTCTGTAACCTGAAGTGTCTGTAACCTGAAGCGTATGTAACTCGAGGTACCACTGTCTATAATGCAAACTAATGAGGCAAGAACTGAAAAAGTTGGCAGGGTGGGGGATAATCTGAGAGAAACTGAGAATGATAGATTCATCCATCATTCGTTCTCTCTCTCAGTGAACCAAGCTCTCCATTGGAACTCTTGTGTTTCTTACCTCTCTTTAGATTTCTTCCTCATGGCTCTGAAGAGGAAGAAAGCCAGGACAGCACTGGTCACAAACAAGATGGCGAGCCCAATACCAAGGCCCACCTCACTCTTCTGGAAGCGTGTCTCGCAAAAATCTCCTGTGTACCAAAACTTGTCCATATCACTGCACCTGTGAGGGAAAAGATAGAGAGGTGGGGATGAGAAATGCTGCTATACCCCAAACCTTAGCATGCAACCCTTTTTAAAAATAATATTTATTAACAGTTTAAACACTACAAAACAAAAGAAAACAAAACAAAACAATACAGTACAATACAAAAACAAAGATACTACATAACACTAACACTAAAACATTAAACTAACAAAACAAAACAAAAACAATTTAAAACACATCCAATAGTTTCAATATCTTATCTTTCATTCACTTGTTTCAATGACCTCCTCACACCTCCCTTTTTGTATTCCACTTCAGTTAACTGTTTCAGCAATTCCTTTCCTTCTTCCTCTGTTTTCTGTCCTGTAATTTATCTTAACATATTCTAACCTTATTTTTTTCCTTTTAATACATTAGTAATCTATTTGTACTTAGTTCCTTGTAACATTTCTACTAAAGCCATATAACTTCATTCCAACATTTTTCTAACGTTCATTGATTTTACAGTATTTCTGTAAATAATCTTTAAACTTTTTCCAGTCTTCTTCCACCGACTCTTCTCCCTGGTCTCGGATTCTGCCAGTCATTTCCGCCAGTTCCATATAGTCCATCAACTTCATCTGCCATAGCATGCAAGCTGCTTGAGGCCACTGACATCTTCATCTGCGAGCGTTTGGTGTCCCTTCACGCATCGTTCTTCCTTCCCGAATTTAATTTTAATTTGGTCATCTCTGCTTGAAAGGCGCACTTGGAGGGACTGCCGATCCCCTATCGCAGTAAACAAAGCCAGGAAATCCTGGAAAGCGCAGTGGCTCATTGAGTGGCAGCACTGGGGGGGTGGGTCATTGACCACCCCAACATGTAAGGAGGCCCTCTATCGTGAGGATGGCGTTCATCTTTCCAATGAGGGAAGTGATGTTTGGTTGAATGACATATTTGCTAGGATTAGGGATTGGTTGCAGGTTTGAGGGTACTGGCAGCGAGCTTCGCTCAAGCGGCGGTTAGGCATTGGTAGGGGTATTGTTATTTTGATGTTTGGGGGGAGGAGCGCCATCACCTCCCCCAAATATTTAAGGGTAATCCGGTAAAGGATTCCGGGGGGCGTGGCCTCGTCCGAAGCCTGTGGAGGCCAGAGCCTAAAGCGCCCCCCCCCGAGCGGTGACCCCGGGGGAGTCCCTAGTTGATGTGCATCAGCAGGGCTCCCTCTGCTGGTGTTAACCCTTTCCGGTCTTCAAGCAAACAGGCTGAAGCCGGATAGTTGGATAGGACCAATGCCTAAGCCAATACTGCTCTTACCTGTAGCCAATAAAGTTGTGGCCAATTTTAGCCCATTAACCTTAATCAATGGTGTCACGTGTCTTTATTTCTACTGGGGGAGGTGGGAACTCGCCACGCAATGTCCCAATACACATGCATTCTCTTACTTGCATTATAAAGGTAAAGGTATCCCTGCCCGTACGGGCCAGTCTTGACAGACTCTGGGGTTGTGCGCCCATCTCACTCAAGAGGCTGGGGGCCAGCGCTGTCCGGAGACACTTCCGGGACACGTGGCCAGAGCCGCACACGGAAACGCCGTTTACCTTCCCGCTAGTAAGCGGTCCCTATTTATCTACTTGCACCCGGGAGTGCTTTCGAACGGGAGCGCACCCTGTCACGGGGATTCGAACCGCCGACCTTTCGATCGGCAAGCCCTAGGCGCTGAGGCTTTTACCCACAGTGCCACCCGCGTCCCACTTGCATTATATCAAGGTGAAAATAACTCAGGAAGATGGAAGTCACAGCAGGACTGATGCTCACGAGAACGAGAAAGAGAATTGAAGGCAGAATACAGGGGTGGACTTTGGCAATACGGTGTCCTGAGCAAGGACAAAATTTGGCACCCTCAAAAAAAATATTTCTTATTTTCACAATAATTGTCAGGGACTGAGCAGGGGAGGGGAAGGAATGGTGGATAATGCCTCCTCAGCCTGAACTTTCCAGAGAAGAGGGAGATAGTATAGATTTACAACAGTGGTTTGCAGGTGGTCACAGCTCAGATACAGAAGAGGGGCAAAGCTGAGAAATAATGGAAGAAGCAGAGCAGAAACAGCTGGCTGACACGTTATCACTAGAGAGCATTTCAGACCCCCCCTTCTCCCAAAACCCAGCGAGCGTTGAAAGTAGGAGAGCAGAGAGCTAAGAGACAATTGGCCCTAGGCAGCCACCATAAAGGGGGGTGGAGCTGTTGGCGACTGAGAAGGGGAGGGGGAAAATCCTGTCTTGAGGGCATATTTGTGTATGAATAGGATGAGCCTGTGACCTGGGACTCAGGAACTGGAGTATTAACCATCAGCAAAGAATGGCCAGGCTGCCCAGGTAAAGCAATCAGTGACCATTATCAGGTATCCTGGCAAAGAGGATTTCTGCTATAGACCCACCACCTTCTGTGATGTATGTATGATGTTTTTGGGGGTAGTCTTGATCTACAGGGTGGCAATTTCAAAAGTCTATATAAGGGCTTTGCACACCATTGTTCTGGGTTCCTCCTCCTCTGTGTGGTGAGTGGGGACCCTGTTGCAATAGTTTAATAAAGATCAGGCTTACTAGCTGCTTTGCTTCTCAATATTCTCTGGTTGGCCTCCGTTATTTTCTCCTACCGATAAGGAACCTACATAAGGACTCTATACGGGCTCTTGATACCCGATAAGGAACCTACATAAGGACTCTATACGGGCTCTTGATACCCCATTAGGCAGGCTTCCTCAAACTCAGCCCTCCAGATGTTTTGAGACTACAATTCCCATCATCCCTGACCGCTGGTCCTGCTATCTAGGGATCATGGGAGTTGTAGGTTTGCCAAGGCAGAGGTAGCATCTCAGACAAAGGAATCCTTGTTGCTAACTTCCCCATAGTAAAGGTAAAGGGACCCCTGACCATTAGGTCCAGTCGTGACCAACTCTGGGGTTGCGACACTCATCTCGCTTTACTGGCCGAGGGAGCCAGCATACAGCTTCTGGGTCATGTGGCCAGCATGACTAAGCCACTTCTGGCGAACCAGAGCAGCGCACGGAAACGCCGTTTACCTTCCCGCCGGAGCGGTACCTATTTATCTACTTGCACTTTGATGTGCTTTTGAACTGCTAGGTTGGCAGGAGCAGGGACCGAGCAACGGGAGCTCACCCCGTCGCAGGGATTTGAACCGCCAACCTTCTGATCAGCAAGCCCTAGGCTCTGAGGTTTAACCCATAGCGCCACCCGTGTCCCAACTTCCCCATGCTCATTTGCAAAATCTCTGGATAAAATCTCTTGATATGCATATCTCATTCTGACTTAGGTGTGTGCAGAGGCGTGTCCTGTGTCCTGGGGGCGCCGCCTGCAGCCAGCGATAATCATCCCACGAGGGCATTGCCCACGGCCAGCGTCCCAGGGGGGTGGCGTGGCAATGTCACCCCCCCCTCAGGCATGACACCCGGGGCGGACCACGCCCACCGCCCCCACTGCTTTCTCTGCCAGTTGGTGTGTGCAAATTTTGCTATGTTTACATTTTGTTAACAATGTGCTAATCAGAACTTTTGCAGGACATGTGGGTGGGGGGGGGAATGGGGTGTGTGTGTGTATGAGTGCAGACAGGTATAGGGGTCATTATTTCGAGCTTTAAGCAGTGGGTGGGCTGAAGAGACTGGAGATGGGGTTTTTTTCTGCTACGCCCCCCACCTGTCCACTTACAAGCACTCGGGGCCTGTTTCACGAATGCGACACTCTCCATAGTGGCAGTTCCAGGAGGTCTTTGTTCCCTTGGTGCAGTTGGTAATACAGCGCAATGTTCCCGTGGACATATTGGCGTAATAGTAGGCTGCATATTGAGGCTTGACGATATTTTTGCAATAATCTGGGAAAGAAAAAAAGGAAGAAATCTGGTCGTTTGGCGCAAGTCAAAGCAAAGGGGCATAACAAGTCAGTTTGCTGAAACTTAGCAAGTCTACTTTCCGTGCCTAAATGAGAGATTTCCTGGTGGAATAACCCAGAGCAATCAGAGTACTGGCACTCATGGAAATCTTAAGAGAGATACATGGAGCATGGGTTTGTCAATGACATCCAGTCTCAGGGGTGAGATACTGTATGGGCCCAAATATAAGCCACACCTGAATATAAGCCACGCCTTTAAAATTGGAGGGGCGGGGAGGGAAAAAAATTAAAATTAGCAAAGATCTACCACACAAATGATAATTTATGCTGGAAGTGTAAAGAAAAAGAAGGCACTTTTTATCATATGTGGTGGACGTGTCCTAAGGTGAAAGACTTCTGGGAAAAGATTTATAATGAGCTGAAAAAAATGTTGAAAAATACATTTATTAAAAAAACAGAAGCCTTCCTACTTGGAATAATAGGATTGGAACTGCCCCAAAAAAGATGTTAGTTTTCGTATGCCACTACAGCGGCAAGACTGCTACTAGCTAAAACCTGGAAATCTCAAGAACTACCAACAGTAGAAGAATGGCAGATGAAGATGTTAGACTTTTAGGAGCTGGCCAACCTGACTGGAAGAATCCGTGATCAGAAAGAAGAGGAATATCAAGAAGATTGGAAGAAATTTAAAGACTATTTAGCTAAATATTGTAACATAAGATAATTAGAAGTTACTTGAAAGTATCAAATAGGCTTAGGGTTAGAGTAAGAATGAATTGTAATACATTATGGATTTCATTATTATGAAAAGAGAAGAAGATAGTAAATTGAATGAGTTAATTTTATTAGAAAGAGGATATTGGAGAGCTGTTACAAGGTGATACAATGAAATTCAGTTAGGAGGCAGCCAGTTAACAATGAAATTTAAATTGGGTTTTAGAAGTATTATGAGTGTATATTCTTGTTTCTCTTTTCTTTTTAGTCTTTTCTTTTCTGTGTTTTTACATATTATGTCTGTTATAAAGGTGGAAAATCAATTTTAAAAAATTGGAAAAAAGAAAAGAAAAAGAAAAAATACCCGAATATAAGTCGCTCCATTCCTTGCTGTTCCTGGCTGCATACTGGGCAGGGGCCTCTTCCCCTTCCTCACTCTCTCCCTTCCTGGCCTTGGGGGAGAGGAGGGGGGACTACGCACTGGGCGGTCACCGCTTTGCCCCCCCCCAGCTCCTGGCTGCATACCATAAGGTCGCGAATATAAGCCACACTTTAACTTTTCAAGGTCGGAATTTGGGGGAGAAGTGAGGCTTATATTCAGGCCAATACAGTACTTGATGCTGGTGACATTGTCATGTCCATCATCACCTCCCTCCTTGCATCTCAGATGTTTTTCAATGAATCTGGGACACTTTTGTTTGTTTGTTTTGTTTTTTGAAGCTGAGTAGCAACAGGGAAATCAGCCCTGAGTGCTCACTGGAAGGACAGATCCTGAAGCTGAGGCTCCAATACTTTGGCCACCTCGTGAGAAGAGAAGACTCCCTGGAAAAGACCCTGATGTTGGGAAAGATGGAGGGCACAAGGAGAAGGGGAGGACAGAGGACGAGATGGTTGGACAGTGTTCTCGAAGCTACCAGCATGAGTTTGACCAAAGTGCGGGAGCCAGTGGAAGATAGGGGTGCCTGGCATGCTCTGGTCCATGGGGTCACGAAGAGTCGGACACGACTAAACAACAACATGTGACAAAATGCATTCTATGTGGCAGGGCAGGCTACCTGCTTCCATTGGCATTTTCTGAGGACAACTGGTTTAGACTCGGCTGTGTCTGCTCTGAATGGACAGGCGATGGCAGACGGAGGAGACACTTTTCAGTGTTCCAAGGGCTGCATTGCCTTGTGGGAAACGTTTTGAAGGCTGCATGGCAGTAGCCGGCGGGGCCCGAAGCAAAAATTGGAGAAGCCATAGATATAATAATAAAAGAAAATGATTGCAAATTAGTTTGGAGGTGGTATTTAACACCAGTCAGATTAAATCAAATAAAACAAGGAATATTTTGTGTTATGTTGGAGGGGGTGCCAGGAAACCTGCCTGTGGTGGGGGTGTAAAGATGTACAATTTTTCTGGCAAAGGGTGTTTGAGGAGATAACAGAAATCACTGGGTTAACGCTGACCGAAAGTCCAGAGGTTGCATTATCATCAATTTACAATGGGGTGGAAGGTTCACAGGCTAGGAAGGACTTGCTCACAAATTTATTAGCAGCTGTCTGGATTATGATAGCTAGGAAGTGGAAGGGGCAAGCAGAATATAAAATGGAAGAATGGTATAAAGAGGTGTGGGAGATAGCTATCAATGACAAATTATAAAGGTAAAGGTACCCCTGCCCGTACGGGCCAGTCTTGACAGACTCCAGGGTTGTGCGCTCATCTCACTCTATAGGCCGGGAGCCAGCGCTGTCCGCAGACACTTCCGGGTCACGTGGCCAGCGTTTACCTTCCCGCTAGTAAGCGGTCCCTATTTATCTACTTGCACCCGGGGGTGCTTTCGAACTGCTAGGTTGGCAGGAGCTGGGACTGAGCAACGGGAGCTCACCCCGCCACGGGGATTCGAACCGCCGACCTGACGATCGGCAAGTCCTAGGCGCTGAGGTTTTACCCACAGCGCCACCCGCGTCCCTCAATGACAAATTAACACCTGCCATTAAAGTAAGACCTGGGATGTCCCGCGGAAGACCTTAAGGTCCACAAATGACAACATTTTGGAGGTCCCAGGTCGCAAGGTGGTTAGATTGGTCTCAACTAGGTCCAGGGCCTTTTCAGTACTGGCCCCGACTTGGTGGAATGCTGTCACAAGAGACCAGGGCCCTGCGGGACTTGACATCTTTCCGCAGGGCCTGCAAGACGGAGCTGTTCCGCCTGGCCTTTGGTTTGGACTCAGTCTGACCCTTATGTTTTTCCTCCCCTTATGGTTTTGATCTATGGGCCACTTTTAAATGAGGCTGCATTTTAAATTGCATTTGAACCTGTATTTTAAATTGGGTCCCCCCCCCCCCCCGCTATGATTTTACTGTAATTTTACTAGTCTTAGGAGGGCGGGGTATAAATAAATTTATTATTAATATTGTTGTTGTTGTTGTTAGGAATATGCAGGACAAATGGAAGGGGCAAGCAGAATATAAAATGGAAGAATGGTATAAAGAGGTGTGGGATATAGCTATCAGTGACAAATCAATACGTGCCATTAAGGTAAGACGGGGAATATGGAGGACAAATGATTTCGAGGAGATATGGAAGGTGTTTGTAGAATTTGCACCGTTAAAACGGTGCAAGGGGTCAAACCATCGCAAGAGGTGTTGAAATTGTGGGAGGTTGGATAGTTACAATGGAATGGTCTCAGTGGCGGGGTGCGCATTTTTATTCTTATTTATTTCTATTATTACTTTGTCAAAATAAAATAATAATAAAAAGAAAGAAAGAAAAAGAAGTCATAGATGTGATTGTTGCCCTGGAATGGGGAAGCTACACTCCAGCCAGGCCAAGGCCAGAGGTTCCTCTATATGCGCATGACCTGTACCTCTCCGTCCAGGAAAGCAAATGGTATTATCACATCCTAGCCAGACGAAAGCACTGAAGGAACACTTGAACCTGGGTTTGTGAGGGCTATTTCTTGAGGGGAGTGGCTGTGGCTTGGGCGAGAGTCCCAATGTCCAGAAAGAGAGGCCTTAGGCATTTGACCCTCCAGCCCCAAGGTTCCCCACTCCCTCAGCTATGGGGACAATACTGCGAATGCAACATAAGGGGACTTGAAGAGACTCTCCCTTCTCCCTCCCATTCCCATATCTAGTACTCACCTTCTGCCGAAAAATTTCTAACCAGAGCGGGGGACTCTAAAACAGTGAAACAGTAGTCTGGAACAAGAAGGAGAAGATTGTATTGTTCAGTTCCAGAATATTATTATTATTATTATTATTATTATTATTATTACCCTGCACATCCTAAACTATTTAATGTGTGTCACAAAGACAGGACTCGTCCACACCTCTGCTTGTCGCTTGCCTAGGAAACATGGCTCCAAGCAGTTTTCCATTCAATCCACACTTTCTACACCAAATACACGGGGCGGAGCAGTTTTCCTATTGCTCCGGTCCTTTCCCAGGGAAAAGCCCGCCCGCTTTCTAGTGCTAAATCAGAGCAAACCTCAAACCAGCTCAGCAAAACACACACATGGGTAAATCTCCCTAGCTTGGAGATTTACACAGCCTGCGTGTCTTTGCTAACACAAAGACTACATTATATATTTTTTGTAATAAGGCCAAGTTCTTTGCTTTTAAAATCATTTGGAACCTTTCTTTTTCATTACTTTTACTGCCGATGGATGAGACTTGTTTACTGGAAGTGCTGGGACTCTGTAAGTAAAAACTTCACTGATCGGCTAGGTGTCTGTGATTTATTCTAGCCTAAGTACTTTCACTGGAAACGTTTGTTTAAAGGTAGATGAGGGCAGATGTAAAATCCAACCAAGTTTTCACATAGCAATCAACCATAGTGCTAACTCTGCTAGGAAAGATCAAGAATCTCTTCCCAAACCTTCTCTCTCCAACAGTGAATAGTTCTTTCTTGATGTAACCAAGAGATACGTCACTGTGTATCAGTTCCCAGAGGCCAAAAAGATATACATATCTGAATATTTGTTCATAAAGGGACCATAAGTCTCTGGTGTTATTTGATGCTAACGAAACCAAACTTTATAACTAAGTCCCTGGAACTTTGCTCAGAGGAGGGAAGGAATATTAAAACTGGAACTCTGTTCTTCAGAACTTACCTTTGTCCTGCTGGCTACAGTTCCTGGCGTTGGCGTGTTCCAATTGCTTCACAAGCTCCTGTGTCCGGTTGACGATCTCTCTATCGATAGCACTGACGTTGTTTGGCATATTGATTTCCATGATGATCGTGAAGTTCACGTCGATGCTGCCATTGCTAAAACAACAGTGGAGGGAGTACAACATCTCAGGTGCTGAGCCACCATATTGTGGTTTGATAATAAAGAATGTGGGGGGGGGCTGCTTCTTTTTGTTCAAACAAACTGTGTATCCAATGTAAATAAAATAGTACAATAATAGCCCAGTTGACAGAGTATGAGACTTTTAATCTGAGGGTTGTGGGTTTGAGCCCTACACATAGCTGTCAACTTACAGATTTTGAAAATAAGGGACCAGCAGCCTCAAAAATAAGGGATCGGCCCCCCAAATAAGGGATTTTTCGAACACAGGTATGTTCAACTTTTGAGCCCTTCCGAGCCAAAGGCTGAAAGCCCAGCCAGCAGCCAAATGAAGCATAAGCGGTGGTTCCCACAGCGCAGCAACCCAGCAAAGGGGATGCAGCAAGGAAAACCACCATCACCTCTCCGCTGGGAAGCGCTGAGCAAAGGTGAGTCCCCAGGCAACGCGGCCGATTTGATCGGCACAAGGCATGCAAGCTCCACCCCCCAGTTGTTCTTAGACTCCTTATTGGGTGAGCAACGCAGCCAAGCAACACAGTTGGAGCCTCCCTCCTCCCTGGCCGGCAGGGAGGGAGGGAGAGGAACTGCTTCCTTTGAAACCCGGGAAATTTAAGGGACATCATCAATAAGGGACAGCAGCCGGACACGGCACTGGGATAAGGGACTTTCCCGCCAAATAAGGGACGGTTGACAGCTATGGCTCCACATTGTTTGGAAGACTTCTGCATTGCAGGGGGTTGGAGCAGACAACACGCAGGGTCCGTTCCAACTCTACAACTCTACAATTCTAGGATTATCGATAATATATAGATAAAATCGATAGATTTTTTTAAAGTATGCATAACTGAATTATATGTCCAGATTGGCTTGTTGAACTAAAAAGGGGGTTTAGCAGGTAGTGCAACAAATACGCCTGACTAATATCAAGAGACGCAGGTGGCGCTGTGGGTTAAAGCCTCAGCACCTAGGACTTGCCGATCGAAAGGTCGGCGGTTCGAATCCCTGCGGCGGGGTGCGCTCCTGTCGTTCGGTCCCAGCGCCTGCCAACCTAGCAGTTCGAAAGCACCCCCGGGTGCAAGTAGATAAATAGGGACCGCTTACTAGCGGGAAGGTAAACGGTGTTTCCGTGTGCGGCTCTGGCTCGCCAGAGCAGCGATGTCACGCTGGCCACGTGACCCGGAAGTGTCTCCGGACAGCACTGGCTCCCGGCCTATAGAGTGAGATGAGCGCACAACCCTAGAGTCTGGCAAGACTGGCCCGTACGGGCAGGGGTACCTTTACCTTTTAATATCAAGAGGCAGGGAGTTCCAAAGCATAGGTGCTGCCAGATAGAAAGATTTCCTTCTTAAAAAAATGTTTAAAATAACTTTTGTTAAAAAACCAGAAGCTTTTCTATTAGGAATTATAGGTACCACGGGGGGCCACTAGGGGCGCATTGGAAGATGGCCAACAATACCATCTCTCCGGCCCACACGAGGTAATTAAGAGGCTGTTATGGGAGTATGCAGCCTCCCTTTTTGCCCCAAGGGAATGGGGAACACTGCCCTTGCCTGCTGTGCCCATAAATCACCCCCGGACTCAAAAGAAGGGGGTGGGGGCACTAGGCAGAATGCCCTTGTGTGGACTCCGGCTCTCCTGGACACTGCCTCTGATCGCGCACTAGCTGCAGCAATTTGAAATAAACAATTAGAAAAGAAGCAAATGCACATATTTCAAGTGAAGAATGGGGAGTGAAGACTGCTAATTGAAGGGACCTCTGTGAAAGAAGAGCGACGGATTGGATCAACAGGAATATATCATGAAGAAGATACATCAAAGGCTTGGTATGTCGGCAGCGGGACTGGATGGGGGGGGGACTTTTTTCCTTTTCTTCTATGTGATTAACCAATAACCCCCCCTCAAATCAGAACCATTGTTTAACTGACCTAAGCAGGATGATTTAAGACTGTGTGGAAATGAATTCTAACCAAAAGTCTGCTTTATGGAGATCGAGAAAAGAAAAGAGCTTTTGGAATGACGCAGCAATAAAAACAGAGTCGCCATGTTGTCAGGTTCTGTCGAAAGATTCACGACCGGGAGGAGGAATGGATTTGTTTTCATACTGGATTCCTGGCGAACCTCCTCAGAGGACTAAGAAAGGCGACAGACCTGTGAAGATTAATGACGGTAAGAGTGCTTTTGTTTATGGAAGCGATGATATACGGAAACCGTCTGGATATAGCTCTTGGACGAATGGAAAAATCCACACAGGATTACAATTTGTCTTAACCCGCTTGTGGAGACCATCAGAGGTCACAAAGAGAAAGGAAACATATATGAAAACAACAAGATGAGATGTGGAAACAACAAGAAAGGATTGGATAGAATTGTGAACATTATTTGGACAGATTTGTGGACATTAAAGCAGCAGCAAGAAGATGATTGGATCCCCTTCGGAACTTGAAATATGGGTACCCCCAACAAAAATTAAAAATTCGGCTTTGTAATTTGGAATTTATGTGATGTGATTTGATTTGATTGGTCGGTTAATAAATATATATATTTTCTAAAGGAATTATAGGTACCAACCTCCCAACATTCATCCAGTGCTATACCAGCTGCACTGGCTCCCGGTGGAGTACAGGGTCAGGTTTAAGGTGCTGGTTTTGACCTTTAAAGCCCTATGCAGCCTAGGACCCACGTACCGACGGGACCGCCTCTCCTGGTATGCCCCGTGGAGGACCTTAATGTCCACAAATGACAACATTTTGGAGGTCCCAAGTTGCAAGGTGGTTAGATTGATCTCAACTAGGGCCAGGGCATTTTCAGTACTGGCCCTGTCTTGGTGGAACGCTCTGTCACAAGAGACTAGGGCGCTGCGGGACTTGACATCTTTCCGCAGGGCCTGCAAGACGGAGCTGTTCCGCCTGGCCTTTGGTTTGGACTCAGTCTGACCCTTATGTTGCCCTCCCCTTATAGCCTTGATCTCTGGGCTACTTTTAAAATAAGGCTGCATTTACTGGCCGAGGGAGCTGGCGTACAGCTTCTGGGTCATGTGGCCAGCATGACTAAGCCGCTTCTGGCGAACCAGAGCAGCGCACGGAAAGGCCCTTTACCTTCCCGCTGGAGCGGTACCTGTTTATCTACTTGCAGTTTGACGTGCTTCCGAACTGCTAGGTAGGCAGGAGCAGGGACCTAGCAATGGGAGCTCACCCCGTCATGGGGATTCGAACCGCCAACCTTCTGATCGGCATGTCCTAGGCTCTGTGGTTTAACCCACAGCACCACCCACCCCACAGCTGTACTATATATCTCTTGCAAGCTGGTCTCTGCCTCAGGTACTCACTTCACGCTCAGTATCACTACATCACGGTATCCGTCCACATTCTTGTAAAGTTGTCCCATCTATAATGTCGGGGTGGGGGGGGGAAACACAGAATATCTTCATAAACAAAGGCATGAAACAGAAATATCTTCATAAACAAAGAGAAAGACCTTTTCAGGTGAGAGTGGCAAGAGAAGATGCTCTCATGCTTACCTCCTGCTTAAATTCTGCCTCCAGGTTTTTAAACTCTTCTGAGTTTGTGTCGTCGTATTCCTTTAGGTACCCCCTGTTGGTGATCTTCACCTTGGCAGCAAATTCCACGGGCACGTTTACTAAAGCGGAGAGAAAGAGAGAGACCCATTATTAGCAGCAGGACCAGGAGCTTCCTAGCAAAGTAGCTGTCAAACCTCGAAAGGCAGTCCCTGTGCCGGTAGCAAGAGCAGCAGGTTCTTCACACCAGCCAACAGCTTTGATTTTTTTTAAAAAAATATTATTTCTACTTAAACTGCTGAAGACAAGGTCTGTGTAACTTGTGGGATGTAATCCTCTGGAGCAGTCAAGTACAACATTTCCTGTTTGCCTAGAGTGAACATGCGTGGGGAATGTTGGTCCAGCCAGTTGAACTTCCTGTTACACCTGGCTGGAGCATCCTTCCTTTTGCATGTGACTAGTTAGGTGGGCGCGACCTTTCCAGACCTGGTAAAAGGCCAAGCCACATAGCCACCTCTCTTATTTTTCGTCCTGCCTGCTTTCTGCTTCACCGGGACTGCACTGCTATCTCTTAGCCAGAAGTCCCTGGGTTATCTTCCATATGGGGTATACCTGTTTGTACATATTTGTAACTTTAAGCCTAAAGCCTGCATTCAGGGATCACACTGTGATCATGAGTAAAACTACTTTTTGTTACTTATGAATAAGACTATTGTGTCTTTATTCTTTTAAGAGGAATCAAAGGAGGCTTACCAGGAATAATAGAACGTATTTCAATCTGGGCAAGCCAGATTGAATTGCTTATTATCTTAAGAGACTCACACGAGTCTGCAACCAGCTTCTTGCTGCGTAAAGGGGAAACACACTCTGCTGTTTAAAGAAACTTGCTAGCGCAAGTCAGGAAGGATAATATGAATCAATATATCCTCTCCTGTTACCCACAACGTTCCCACATAACCTGCAAGCTCGCTTCCAGTTTATTGGTCAAAGCTGGGCATGTCTTCACTCGTTCGATCCAGCAGCTTCTGGGCAGCTTCCAAAGCCTGACCTTTAACATTGTGTACATTGGTCCTCCTAGAGTGAAGAAGCTTTTGCCAGCATCTTACAGTCCCATCTTGGGGGCTTCTTTGTCGTTTAGTCGTGTCCGACTCTTCGTGACCCCCTGGACCAGAGCACGCCAGGCACTTCTGTCCTCTTCTGCCTCCCGCAGTTTGATCAAATTCATGCTGGTAGCTTCAAGAACACCATCCAACCATCTCATCCTCTGTCTCCCCTTCTCCTTGTGCCCTCCATCTTTCCCAACATCAGGGTCTTTTCCAGGGAGTCTTCTCTTCTTATGAGGGGGTCAAAGTATTGGAGCCTCAGCTTCAGGATCTGTCCTTCCCGTGAGCACTCAGGGCTGATTTCCTTCAGAATGGAGAGGTTTGATCTTCTTGCAGTCCATGGGACTCTCAAGAGTCTCCTCCAGCACCATAATTCAAAAGCATCAATTC